TGGCTACACACACACACACGAGAGCGATTACATTACCTCCCTGCAACTCCGTTGCGTGGAGGTAATGACAGCCTCAACAAACGCCAGCTCAGTGTTTAATGCCAAGTCTTTTCTGGCAACTTCTCTATCTCTGTTTGCGATCACCACTGTGTGGTGCAAGCAATGTACCATTAATAACGCCTCAGCTATCAAATAAAAGCGCCACCTTACAATTCACCTTACCCCTTAAGTTGATACAGACTTGTTTACATACTACATCAAATGTACCTCACCTGCGTGTACAAACACACACGCACGCAAGCATTATATAAATAATATACGTATATAGGTAAAATACAATAAAGTTTACAATAGATTCTGCTGTAGAGTCATTGAAATTTCCCACAGAGACACGGGTCGATATGTATAATACAGTGCCACACGTACGCTGTGCATAAAGGACAATATTTAGATGGCACGATGAAATTTGAGCTGCGATCACCAAACGACAACGGTAGAACAATGGAACTTGTGCAGCTTTGCAACACACACACACACACACACCAAGTGGGGCTTCATGCACTTACAAGCAAAATTTACTATCACAATTACGAAATCAACATGACGAAAAACTTCACTCGGTAGAACCCACGACGCCAAATAGCACAAGCTATCCGACACGGATTAATAAACGTTCAATATCAAGAATGCATTATAATATATGCTGGGGGTTTGAGGCAGGATAACCACGAGGCTCGTAGTTAGCCAGTAGCCAGGGTGTAAAGGGGTGAATTGTCTAAAGTTGTATTATTGTAATATCTGCTCAGTGCATCGTTTGATAGCTTTTATAATCAGTATAATCAATAAATACCTTATTAACAAAACGTTAGGGTAAAACACATTACGACACAATAATTATGCAGCGATAAAATGGTGTTTAGTACACAATACGAAATTTCACAATTTTTTTTAACAATGTCATGTATTTGATACGAAATTAAGGAAAACGGCTCGTGATTGTAGAATCAATAATTAATCGTATCAATAGGCAGAATTCATATTTTGGTCGTCAACGACTAATTCTGCAACTTTCGCTCGACCTTCTGTGACCTTCACTCGACCTTTGGCGAGATTCTGATGCCGTTACTGCTACACATCCTTCTTCAGAGGCCAGTTGGCAGATGGCGCCACTTGTCAACCTCCGCGTGCTCAGTCGTCTGCCTTCCGTTTAGGTTTCTTAGGGTTGCGGGATCGACTCTTTGCCTTGCACAGAGGGCAGATGGGAGCGTTGCGGTGAATCTGCTGGTGGCATGATAGGCAGGCCTGTGGGGGATAAACGAGGCAGAGTAATTGACATCAGGCTACAATACGAGTTCTCAATTAATTTATAGTAGGTCTCAGGGGAGAGATAGTGAATATAGAAATAAGTTGTGGATATAGAAATCAGTTAACCCTAACCCTAATCCTAATCCTAACCCTAACCCTATCCCTAATTCTAAAATAAAACAAATTAGCCAAAAATAATAAAAAATAAAATAAATAAGAGACAAAATTAGCCAATCAGAGCCGTCCCCTAGCGGATCACTATCTCTCCCTGCAAAATTCATTAATTTATCATAAAAAATGCCGTATCGCCTTTTATCGCACGTTACAATAAAGTACGACAACAGGCTACAATACGAGTTCTCAATTAATTTATCATGAAAAATACTGTATCACCTTTTACTGCACGTTACGGTAAATTATGGCCGCAGTTGCATTAGAAACCTCACCTTCATCGGGGGAGGCTGCTGTCGAAATGCATTGGAAGGTGGCGCCCTCGTCTCTGTGGTGGGCTTGTGGCGAACTTCCTGTAATTGTTGGGAAGCCGACACGGGTGGTGGCGCCAGCGGTTGTGAGACTGAGCTAGAGGGCGCCTCCGTCTGCTGCTCCGGCTGCCATTCCATCTTGTGTTTCTCGAAGAATCTGCATTAAGGCCAGAATTAAAAAAATATTTGTTTGCCCTCACCCGACCCAGGCTGAAAATTTTGGGTAGGTAGGTAGGCGCTTTTTTTAGGGGGGTCTTTTTACAATTTCAGCATGGTGTCTACATGCTCGGGTGTGCTTGTGTGGAGATACCTTTTATGTTGAATGTTTATTTTGCTTGGTACATATAATGTATTGCCTACAGATTTATATAATGTACAGTGATACAATTATTATTTGTTAAAAAAAAAAATGGGAAAAATCAATAAAATTTTTTGAGTCGGCCCCTTTTTGGCAGGTCAGTCAGGTAAGGGCAAGCAAACAATATTTTTATTATGGCCTGAGCAGGAGGAGCTTTTAACCTGATCACAGCATCATCCGTTTACATTCCTCAGCGTTCCCAAACCTTGCAGCAGCCCTAAACTCTCAACATCCTTCTTTATGAACACCCTCCTAACTCCTGACATCCACTTAACAATACTTCAGACTCCCAACACATCGTGTGAAATTAGCGGAAGTCACACATTCCCACACTTTCACCGCCCAGTTATATTCTGTGTTATTATGAAACTACCAGCATCCCTACACTATCTGACCTCCACACCTCGCTCTTTTCACCTGCCAGTTCCCTCGACAGTAACCAACTCCCACATGGCTCAGCACCTCATTCCTCTCGCTTCCCACCATCCCCTTCAGGCCTATCCGCACATTCTTCCCTGCCGCTCCTGCCTCCCACCATCCCCTTCAGGCCTATCCGCACATTCTTCCCTGCCGCTCCTGCTTCCCACCATCCCTATAGGTCTGACCTTTGGTCCTCCCCTGCGGCTCTCGCTTCCCACCATCCCCTTCAGGCCTATCCGCACATTCTTCCCTGCCGCTCCTGCTTCCCACCATCCCTATA